GCTACACGCGCAGCGCAGCCGCCACGAGCCCGCGCGCCCTCCGGCCACGGCCACGGCGCAGCGCAGGGCGACAGCCTGGGGGAGACAGACGAGACAAGCTCCTCAGTGCCCCTGTCTTGCCCTGCCCTGCCCTGCCCTGCCCTGCCCTCCTCACCTCACCTCACCCGACCCGCACTCACAGCCATGCCGCAGCCGTGCGGAGCAGCGCGGGGCCCGCCGGGACCGGAAGAGGCAGGGCCGGAAGCGGCCGCCGGCCACGACAGCTCCATCACTGCGAGCCATGGCGGGGTCGGGCAGTCTCTGCCTCTTTGACGTGGATGGCACCCTCACGGCGCCCCGGCAGGTGAGTACGGGGCGGCTTCTTCTCAGCCCTTTGCGGCGGGGCCGGGCCCCCGCAGGCGACGCTTCTCCTTCCCGAGCTCTTCCCCTCCCGGCCTGGCTGCCCTCGCCCCGAGCGGGAGCGCTCTGGCCTCCCCCGGGTGTCCGTCTTGTTTCCCGAGTGCCTGTCGCTTGCACTGCAGGACGGGGTGTGCCGGGCGCCGTGCCCGCGTACGTGAGCATGGGGCTGCTTGGGACTCGGCTGCAGCCCCCAGCGCGTGGGAGGGCCGCCTGCGTGCTCGGGACAGCGCTGCCCCTCAGCGACGGGCGGGTCCCGCTCCGTCGGGGAGAGCCAGCCCCCAGTGCAGCGCCATAATGTGCTCTGCAGTCGCTCTGAAAAGAAACAGCTACTGCTCCCTCGCGCTGAGGGGCGCCAAAGCAAAACTCCCTCGGGTGTCGCTCCTCCTGCTAAGGCTGCTGGCTCCTTTGGAGAAATAGTGAAGGGGGGGGGGTGACACCACCTGTGGGTTTGGTAACTAGATAAAGCTGCTGCCATCTGGATGCACTTCCTTCTGGGCTGGAAGCCAGATCAAGACAGCAAATGGGTATTGGGCACAGCCCCATCTTGTGCAGGTCCATGATGGTAAACTGTACTTTCTGGGTATGCGTCTGTCTTACAGCTCCAGGGCGCTTCTGAATTCTCAGTTATTGCTGGGGTTTTAGAGACCAGTTATGTCCACAGATGCTGTTTTCTTCCAGTACTGGAAGTGAGTTACAGTGTGGAAACAGCAAATAAATAACCCTGGATGAGTAATTAAGCCCGGATCTTCTTCTGTAATAAACGTATTCCATGGTAAGGGAGCAGGCACAAGAACACCCTTCCAAGCTAGGTGCCCACAGGCACTTTATGGATCTTGGCTGCTAGGTGGTGCCCCGTTCTGGTTTGAATGAAGCGGATAGCTATGCCAGAGGAAACGAGCTAGGGAAGTGGATATGACCGCTGTGCCTCATACAAGGTGCAACTTAAGGCAGTGTGAGTTTGTGTGTCCTGGGTCCTTTGCTACCGAGTAAAGTCAGTTTTTTCCATAGTAAAAATTGTGTGTTTATTCTCATACAGATCTTGTTATTCCTCTCTCTGCCTCTGTGACTTCCAGATGTGAACTCGGGGTGTATGGGGGCTACCTCTGAAGGTATTTCAGAAGGTCAAGAGGTTTCAATTTTTAGGCCTTCATAAGAGGGAGCATGCTATGTTAAGTAAGCTATGTATTGCACCAGCTTTCCTGTTGATTTTTCACTTGAAGCATTTTTTTGGCATTTTTCTCCCTAGAGCCCTACATATTTTGCTTCACAGCAACCGTTTTTCCTCCTGCACCATAATAGCTATGTTCAGATATACAATTGTGCCAAAGCTGTGTAGGCTACCCACTAATCATAAACTTTTTTTTCTTTTTTTGAAAACTAGAAAGTCACAGCAGAAATGGCAGAATTTCTGCAGAAGTTGCGGCAGAAGGTGAGAGTTGGAGTAGTAGGTGGTTCAGACTTTGAAAAAATTAAAGAACAGCTGGGAGATGATGGTAAGGAAGAGATAAGACAGTCCAGGTTGATAAATGAGTTGCATATGAGGAAGTTCTGATACCTTAAATTAAACCTTTTTTCTTCCTTCTTCCTTGTAGTATGCAAATCGCTTGAAGTGTTAACTATTCAGAGTCAGCGTGTGATGATTGCTTGATTTATAATTGTATTGACCGCAGTGGGTTAGATTAAGTCTCCCAAGTACTTGTACTTTACATAGGAAGAATCAGTCTTACACCCTTTGGTTGCTACATGCAGTGAAGTTCTGACTTCGTACTAGTAGTGTAGAACAGTAGCGTAACTAGCTTGCCCTGCGTGCCAGGTTAGGGATGCCAGAATCGCCTCCCATCTCTGCAGAGTCCATGGCCTGGC